GTTTATATAGTTCACTTATCTGTATAACGTTAGTGTATAATAAAGAAATATTAAAAATATTAAATATAAAAAATAGTGAAAATTAAATAAAAAAGTAGTGGTATGCTGTGAATAAATAAACCGCAGCAGCCGTTAGCGCATCAATAATATTATAATAAATTCGTCCGCACATTGGCCTGAACCGAATCAAACTGAACGACCTTCCAACGTGTGGACGCGATCACAATTTCTTGGCCAATAACTCTGCCAACACATTCGCCACTGTGTTGGTCAACGTGAAGAGGCGCCATAAGACACAGAGTCACAGAGTAAAGATTAAGGACCAGAGGGGAAGCTTCTTAACAACGTCGAAAATGTATACCTATACTGATAGGGTTGTCACATGATGCATGTGAATATTTTAAGGAAAAAATAAAAATATTGTATAGCATAAGACAACATGATGTGTATTAATTATAACTTATATTAATGTAACAACATATCTATTAATTGTTCGAAATCAATAGCTGGTTTTGATGTAACTGGTGGTGGTGTTAGTAATGGTGGTGATGGTGGTGGTGTTGATAGAGCCACTGTTGGTCCACTGCCTACCACCACTACCTACGATACTACCACCTCCACCACCACTGACACCTTCAGCAACACTATCCACCAACACCAGCATCACTTCCACCAACACCAATCCCACCACCCCACCAATGTCTGGCGATTGTATTTCAACAATAATAACTAACCATAGGTGAGACCGACTTCATTACTCGGTGACGTACCTGTCTAACACATTCTCACTTACCATCAATATTATTATCTAGTTTTATTGTATATAATACGTAAAAAGGTACTTGCTTGACTTGATATCTCTAGTACAAAAAAGAAAATATTCTTATTTTCTCTAGAATTATTTATAATAACTTAATTCTTAATTATTTTAATTAAAACACTTAAATCCAATTATTTAATAATTGCAAATAAAACTTAATAAATTAATTGATGTATAAAATTTCGAAATATTGTTGGTCTATTTATTTAAATGCGCACGACTAACAGCCCTTTCGTGGATACTCTGACCGAGCCGGCGCAAGCCGGTTTGTACCCTGACGGAGCGTCGGTGAACCTGTCGGTGAGAGCTCACGCATACATCGCTGCGCTATGTATGGGTGTATTCGCAGCGAGCCGTTTGTATGTAGCTTCCCCTCTGGTCGGTTTCTTTACTCATGTGATAGAGTAGCACACATTTTTTATTTGGTACAGCTTCTCTAGTACGTAGTACATTATAACTCAACTTATAAAAATGCGTTTTTCAATTTCAATAATCAACGTCACCGCGAAAATTTCTTATTCTTTAGACACTAAAAATTTATTTATTTAGAACAAAATATTTTGCTTATTGTGCTTACAAATACAGACATGCAACCATCTTGTGAGTGTAAATGTACTTGTGCAGGGCAACGGTTGTATAGGGTCAGTGGCGGCATAGTGTGATATGCAGATGCGTTGTCACCCATGAGGACTAAGATGGAGTGCCTCATTTCCAGTAAAGAGGGTCTCCGGTTCTCTACACTTACCATACGAAAAACAGCAACCTTAATCTGCTGCATTTTACGCTGGTATTCTGTGAGAGCGTGGTCATATATATACACATACGTCGCGGAACATTTTGCAGGCCACACTAGTCAGTGCTTACAGAAATGTCATCCGACGATGTTGTGGCGATTAGTGCTGCGTACATAGTACTTATTTCGGGAGTGAAACATAAGCGTAAGAGAAGGTGATGGATGCGGAATTTCTTATTACAACGAGAAGAAAGAAGAATAAATATTTTAAGTGATCTGCGAATGTATGACTGATCTTTTGTGAATTTTACTCGAATGTCAACTGATTTTGAAACCTTATTACAAATGATCCAAAGGCCAAGAAAAAATAAAATAGTTAAACTATAAATTAATTTTCTTGTTGTTATTAGGTTCTCAAATTAATGCGGAAGGGGATGATGTATATGCGCACAGGTACCTCAGCATAATGTTACAGTAATAAATCAGTTCGATAGCAGTACGATCGTTTGATTTCAATCGCATACACTACAAATTCACGATTTATGACTTACGTACCGATTCTTATCAAATTAGAGGCTTTTAGATCATCTACCGTTTATTTTACGTAAAACTGTCGTCTTGAGAATCGTGTCAACCAATTTGTTCGATAATATAACCTAGAGAATAAAGTAGATGACGGGTTAAAATGTAATACATTCAAATTGGGCTCTTTTAATTTTTTTATAAAATTTGTAAGTAAGTACGGAAAATTATTTAAATTAAAAGCAAATTTTTGTAAATGGCCAAGAGGAAAAGAGTATTTTTGTGGAAGTATTGAAGTAAAAACATCAGACCGGTAACGAATTTGAATAAAAATTGCCATGACAACCAGATAAACAACGATGTCTAAACATGTCAAATTTTGGTTTCAGGCTCGTAATAGAGAAACGGCAAGATTTAAGTGAAAAATGAGATATTATTGATATAGGAAAAAGGGTATCGCACCAGCGCGCACGAAGCCCGAAATTGCAGAGTTACGGAGAACTAAATAAAAGATCGAAAAAGGTAGACTCCGTCGACACCGATTTAAAAAATGCTAATAGCGTGAAAATACGAAGTGAAAATGATTTGTTATTGTGTTCTTATGGTTTAAAAACGTTACAGGATCCTATGGAAATAAAGGTGATACAAAATATCCAGTTTTGAGGTGAATGCAGAAAATCAAAACAGAATGGAAAAATGAATTTAAAATAGTGTAAAATGATATGTAAGTAGCATAACACTACAAAATATCTTTATAACTGGTGCATTACTATCAATAAAATTGTAAAATGTGTAGATATTGTTCAATAAGAAAGAAGGCAGCTGCCAGAAATGCATGAAAAAGCTGAAAAATAAAGTGAATAAATAGATTTCAACATTGTTTCATTTGTGGTTTTATTTTCAATATATTTTGCAAGTAATTAATAAATCAACTTATTTGAGATGTCCTTTGTCTAGTATGGCTGCTTCAATTAAAAAAAAGAAGAATGTCAAATATCATTTTGCTACAACCAATCATGATATTATCACTCCCATTATCACTCATTTACTTAATGCATCTGTCTCTTCCTCTGAATTCCCTCAAGCCTGGAAGAGTGCTCATGTTATACCCATTCCGAAGCGATCTAATCCCGTCAACCCCTCTGATTTTCGTCCCATCTCGATCTTACCTTTCCTTTCTAAAGTCCTTGAAAAACTAATTTGCCAACAGCTGACCCTTTTCCTCAATGAGCACAATTTATTAAATTCTTTACAATCCGGTTTCCGTCCTGGTCATAGTACGGCTACTGCCTTAATCAAAGTTACTGATGACATACGGTGGGGTATGGATAATAAACAACTCACAGTCATGACCTTGCTGGATTTCAGTAATGCGTTCAATACTGTTGACTATGATATACTGTTGAGTCTGTTGTGTTCCCTTAACATATCTCCATCAGTAATTAACTGGTTTCAAAGTTATCTCTGTGGCCGTCGGCAGTGTATTCGTTTCGATGAAACTCACTCATCTTGGTGTGATATTACTGCAGGCGTGCCGCAGGGTGGCGTGTTGTCACCTTTACTCTTTTCCATTTTCATTAATTCAATTACTCATAAAATATCTTCTCTCTACCACATGTATGCGGATGATGTCCAGATTTACACACAGTCAACTCTTGAGAATTTGCCGAATGCAATCGCTACATTGAATAACGATCTAAATATTATTCATGATTGGAGTAAATCATATGGCCTAAATGTGAATCCTAAAAAGTCTCAGGCTATCATTATTGGTAGCCAGAGTTTTATCTCAAGAGTTGATTGGTTCACCGTACCACCTATAGTATTCGATGGAATTGTAATCCCTTACTTTGACAATGTCAAAAACCTTGGTATTTATATTGATAATTCCTTAAATTGGATACGTCAACTGAATGAGGTAAGTAAGAAAACCTTTGTCGGTCTTTGTTCACTGCGTCGCCTTCCATCATTTCTTCCCATTCCTACAAAAATTATGCTCGCACAGTCTCTTCTCCTTCCGATCCTCGACTATGCTGACGCAAGCTATGTAGACATAACTGAGGACCAGCTAAATAAGCTTGAGAGACTTCAAAATACTTAGTTACAATTTTCCGTTCATATTTGGATTGCGCAAATTTGACCATATTTCCCAATTTCGCTCACATCTCAAGTGGTTACCTATCCGACTTCGCCGGAACATGCATATTCTTTGTTCTTTCTATCCTCTACTGTGTATTATTTCATCCTTCTGCTCCTCCCTATCTAAAAGAGAAGTTTAATTTTGTGGGGCTTCCGGGGGAACCTCTACGCTCTTCTAGAAAATTAGTTTTAAGGGTACCAGCTCATAAAACATAGTTTTTTAATAAATCGTTCACTGTAGAGTCTATTAAGTTCTGGAATGCCCTACCTTTGCAAATACGTGAAGCACAATCTATTGCAATCTTTAAGCGACTACTTAAAGAACATTACTTGTCTCAATCGTCCGGAGACCGTTAGGATAATTATGTGATTATGTATTTATTGTATTTATCAGCTTTATATTATTGTTTGAGGAAATTTGTAATTTATTTATGTATTTTGGGTAGATATGTAACTTTGTTTATATACTCTTATATATGTATGTTTATGTATATATATTATATGCTTTACTTTATCTTTTATTATGTATTTTATTGCATTTATTGTCTATATATCGCATGTATTGATATTTTATTTTGTATAATTATATTGCACCACCTACCCAGTATTCATTGTTTATTCCTTTACACCCTTGGTTGCCTGGAAGAGATCGCTATGTAGCGATAAGGCCGCCAAATTGTACATTTAACTTGTCTATTGTTATGTAATTTGTTTATTAGTTTGTGGTGTACAATAAAGTATATTCATTCATTCATGATTCAGAAGTTAAGTCGAGTAGGTAAGTTTAGTTCGTGAGATGCGTAGAGGGCTCCCTCGGTATTAGTGTTCTGTGCTCCCTCTACGGTGAGATGTCAGTCTGATCCGGGTAGAATCTACTAGTTAGTCTGTGTCATCAACTCTCTTGTTATAAGCTAATCTGTGTGAGCAACTATTTTTTGTAATTTTTATTGTTACTACTTTTTTTCATATTGCTACTTAGTACATAGACTTACATGTCAGTGTGTTATTTAGAAATAAGGTGCGGTCACAAAATTCAGGTTTACCGTCTTTTGTATAATTAAATTTTTAGTCCATACTAACATTTAATGTTTTGGGATATAAAATTGGTTATAACAAAAGAGTGATTAGATTACAGTGTTATTATTCTCTCAGGGAGATTGAACACTAGTGTCATTGAACAAGACCAATCATCCGTTTCGTGCATGTGTACAACATAATAGAAATCACTTTCGAATAATTTGTTTGTGATCGGCAAATAATTCACGACCTGAACCTGGTCAAAATACAAGTGACAGAAGTGTGGTAGTGAATTGTGTAATTCCGACATTTAGTAAAAAACATCGTTTTTGGTGACTGCGGTTACACCTGTTTTATATTCACCGGAAAAAACAAATGTTATTTTAAGGTTTTTATGCATTTTATTACATGAATTAAGCATTAAAGTATAACAGTGCTGATAATATTTTACTAAATTATTTTGAAATGATGTTTTGAATTATGTGATGTGCCATATTAAACATATCAGTATGCATCATACAGTGTGTAGGTGTAAGACAGCTCTTCCTACTTTTTCTTAGACTTGTTCATAAGTACAGAGATGAAATAAACAGAAATGAAATAAAGCATAAAAGACAAACTGTAATTTGTTATCAGCTGATGCATTCAAGAAAAATCATTAAATCTTATCTAGGAAAAAAATATCATTGCATATTAATATTATATTATAAATTACGAAAGGCACCACCTACCTAATTATTAAGTTTGATTTACAATAAGGCAAGTAATATGATTTGTATCTCCAAATTATATAAAAAATTTAGTATTGAATTAACATGTTTAGTTGTTTTTCATTACTAGTAATTACACAAGTCTATAAAAATATTTAAAATGTCCTTGATTCTTAGAGTTGTCTTAAGTAGTATACATATTATGATATTGTGTTATGTTATGCTATATCCTCATGAAGTGTTATGTGCTTGCACTACAATCTGACCACAAGTATGGCTTTGACTGAAGTTATACATACTTTTAGTTTGATGCATAATTTGATTTATAACATTTTTTATATTTTGAAGTCCACAAGCTAAGCTTTTGTAAGAGTTAAAAAAAGAAAAATTGTATTATTGCTCAAAGTTACGATGGAAATTAAATGCACCAAGATAAATGTGAAAAGGAGACCAAGTTTGATACAAACCATGTTTGGGGTTATCAGCTTTGTTGATAAAAGAGTTGAGATCTAAAAAGACACCAAGCTCCATAGTAGTTAGTTAGATCATAGGATCTAGAGGAATGTACATCATTCTTGGAACTTTGGAGTTGGCGTCCATTAAATTTTATCATTAAACATACATACATATATACATGACAACCCAAATATCAATTTTAACAAATTAATATCCAAATACTCAAGCGCTACTCTATTTTAAGACACTGTTAGCTTAGTTTACGATAGGCTGTTTTCTGCAACTCCATGTCTAAGTATGTATTTTGTGTGTGAGCAAGAATAATGTGATTATACGTGCTATGAAATCTCCCTGAAGAAGTTGTCAACAGTCCTTTGATGTTGCAAGCTACTTCGGGGAGTGATCCCGGTATGCCGAGAATTTAGCCCTGTATGCAGCGACCTCCGGACATGTCAGCAACACGTGGGCTGCCATTTTTTCTTCCCCCATATATGCCCTGCACGGGGGACTATCTGTAACAACTATGATAAATAAATATTTGTTAAAGGAGCCATGTCCCTCTGGCTGGCTGGTTTCATTTAATTGTATCTTATACTTCTTTTCAAATACAAATTGTTTGGTAATCTTATTGTACTTGGCTTGTAAGATTGGAATTGTTGAGTAAATTCTATCAATTATACCTGTATTAGAGACTACTCTTACTCCAAAGATTTAGGGTCTTGAGTCTGATGGCAGCTAAAGTAGCTTCTTGTTGTATGTGTAGATGAAGCGGGGTAGCTCCAGCATCGCCTCTAAGGCTGCTGTTGGTGTAGTCCTTATACAGCCTTTGGCAGCCATACATGCCAGTCTCTGGTAATGCTGAAGGTTCTTTATAGTGGTGGCTTCATTTGTTTTGGTCCACCATACCAGAGCACCGTATGTGATCATGGGCCAAATTACAGTTTTGTACAGCCACAGTATAATTTTTGGAATCAGATGCCATCCTTTGCCAATCATGTTACTGCATTGCCAGAAAGTTATATTAGCTTTGTTGATTTCGTTTTCTATGTGTTTATTGCAGTTGAGTTTTGTCCAAGGTAAGACCTAAATATTTTACCTCAGAGGATAGCTGGAGTTTTGTGCTAAAAAGACTTTGGAGATGATAGTTATTCAGCATTTGTTTTTGTGTGAACATTACTAGGACCGTTTTATTTGGATTAACAGTTACGTCGTATTCCTTGCACCATCTCTCCACTATATGGAGAGCCGCTCTTAGTTCAGGTTGCACACCATGCTTGCTGTCTTTCCAGATACCAGTATTGCCAGGTCATCTGCATAACCTACTGCGTAGAAATGATTGGCATTTAATTTGCTGATGAGTTCATTAATGACCATATTCCACAGGAGAGGTGAAAGAACCCCACTCTAAGACACTGTTAAGTCTCACACTGTCTCATCACTTTAAGATAAAGTGACTGTGACACTACTGCCCAAATACTCAAACGCTACTCAGTCTTAAAACGCTGTTAAATCTTGTGCTGTCTCTATCACTTTAAGTCCAACTGAATATAACACCACGAGACTTAAAATTGAGTAGCGTTCGAGTATTTGAGCATACAAGATTTAACTGAGTCTTTTATTAATCTTAACAATAATGATGAGTTTATGTGGACAAAGTTATTAGTTGCTGTTAGTTTCAATTACTTGAAGGTGTAGGTCCAGTAGTCTTTTAGATATGAGGGGTTCGAAAGTGGGTCAATTGGTTTGTATAACCCTTTCATCTTGGCTGATACACAACCATATGTCTAGATTCAGCTTAAACCAGTATAACAATAATTGTTCCTTATGTTACACACAATTTAAATTTAATAAGGTTAGTCTTTTTAGGTTGTTTATGGGTAAAAACTAGCTGGCCTTAAAATTCCTTAAAATATAGTAACTGTATGTTTAATGCTATTGTTGGTACAACTTGCAATCTTACTGGCTAATAATAAATAATATAATAAGGAAATCTGCACACCTAATATGAATATGTAAAATTAAGATACAGGTTGGGCCAGAAATAATTGCGAATTTGAAAAAATCATTAAAAAAAAAACTAAGTGCAATTCACATACAAATTTTTATTTCTACAAAAATTTACATCTGGGAAATTCATTTCTTAAAAATAACATCATCCAGATGTGCACCATCGCGCTGCAAATATTCTTCGAATCTGAACCTCAAATTGGTAAAAACTCACTGGCACATTGCACAGGGAATATCTGCCATTTCTTTCCGGATATTGGTCTTCAACTGGTCAATTGTGGCTGGGTTATTGGAGTAGACTCTACTTTTTAGGTATCCCTACAAAAAAAAGTCCAGTGGTGTAAGATCCGGACTTCTAGGAGGCCATTCAATGTCACCTCGGCACAATATCAGTTTCTCACCAAACATCTCGTTTACGACCGCCAAAGAGGCATTAGCTGTGTGGCATTGTGGAATGTCGCGCCATCTTGTTGAAACCATGTCGCACGATTATAGGCTTCAAATTGTTGCAGTTGTGGAAAGAAAAAATCCCTTAACATGGCTATGTATCGGTCAGAATTTACAGAGACAGATTGGCCTTGTCGATTTTCGAAGAAGTGGGGTCCGATAATTCCGTGCGCTGACATGGCCGCCCAAACGGTTACTTTCGGCGAATGTAGAGGCTTTTGATGTTTTGCACGTGGGTTCTCTGCAGCCCAGTAAATGGCAATTCTGTTTATTCACCTGCCCATTTATGTGAAAATGGGCTTCGTCGGAGAACAGAATATTGTTGAAACTCCGAAAGCGTTCCAGCATCGTTTCAACAAAAGCTCTCGTTAAAATTGGATCATTTGGCTGTAATTCCTGCACAAGTTGAATTTTATACGGATGCAATTTCAGATCTTTCAACAAAATGCGACGCAAAGATGTTCTGGACACCACAAGTTCGGCTGAACGCTTTCGAGTCGATACAGCAGGATTACGTTGAACTGAAGCTCTAACTTGTTCAATTGTGTCTTCCGTTTTTGTTGACCTTGGGCGTCCCGCAGGCTTCTGTTTGAGAGTCGAACCAGTAGCTTCGAACTTTCTGACCCACGATCGAATCACGCTTTCCTTCGGACACTGATTTAGGTCATGTAATCCAAACTCTCGTCGAAATAAACGCCGAAAAATAGCGCACGAATCGTGATTTTTATAATAATGTTTAACGCAGAATGCACGTTGCGCTCCCGTGAAGTGATCCATCGCGACTAAACACTAAATTTCCGAGAACCGACCTACTTAACCCCACCACCCGCGCAGTCGCCTCTCTAAAGCTTCAAACGCAAGAGTGTTTTTAAAATCGTACTCCTTTCTGGCCCACCCGTTATATACCTTCTCCACCAAATCTAAGATATATATACCTTTGACAGCTGTCATATTTATTGGACTGGGCCTTCTAACTGAAAAATCAGTACCTACAATATTCAATTCTTAAGAGATATCGATATTGATTATTTACAGTTAGTAATCATTTACAGTTTTTTCTAGAATAATACCAGAATAAATTGGAAACGGCTAACTCAAAACACAATATTTATCAGTTTTTTCATATCTATTGCCTACTGCTAATTTCTAGAGATAATGTTATACAAATTAAAGACATCAGACTAGATTAAAAACAAATTTATTTAATCACTTTCTTTACAACTAGAGCTGATTAGACTGAGCTGTCGTTGTCATCATCATAGTTGTTTATATTAATTATTATTTGATTGTTTATAATTCATTCAATATCAATGTCTCTTTCATAGTCGTCCATAACAATTTTCTTTGTTTTCTTCATCACTTTGGCCTAGTGATCAATTGTGTAGTAGTTGTATTTTGTACAAATCCCCCTCCGGCGGATCCCACATGACAATTTATGAGGCGCCAATCTTTTCCCACGGGCATGTATCATTTGTCATCTGTCTGTGTGTGTGGTTTAACATTTAGCCATCTTTCATCAATAAATATAACATTGCCTCAATTGGTTATATTCTTAATTTCTTGTCAAAATGTTATTCTTTGTATTTATGTCTCTAAATAATTATTTTGCGTTTGTCAATTTTTTGTATAGGAAGCCGGCATCTTCTAAACTTACTTGCAATGTTGCCACAGTGGTATTCACAGAAATTTAAAAAAAAATTAGACTTGTTTAATTCAGAATTCATATGATTTATGCAACTCTAAATACAAACATTTAAATAAACAAATA